ATTGTGAATTGAATAAAAAATGCATATACATATGCTGAATGAATAAAGAAAGAATTATATTTCTAATTTTTCAGGGGGGGTTAAGTGTCCCCTCTTGCCCCCCTGTGGACGCCATGCCCTCGGGTATTAGATAGAAAATCATAAATTATAATTTGAATTATTAAAAAAAATCTTTTCCATCTTGCAAAATATACATTATTTTATTACTCACGCTTATTACAAATAATAAATTTCTATATAAAGCGAAATACATAAAAACAATTCCGAAGACAATAACCGGTTTGATTTGAGTCGCAATACAAACGAAAAAGAACTCACAACTTCAATAACCCTAACACACAATTGGTGTATCTCATGATAGTATATCTGTCAGTATCTAGAGGCATTCGATTCCCAGCTTTAATCAACCGTCTAGATCTCTCGTCTATTCTGTCATTAGTTATAAACTAAAATATAGGAAAACATACATCAAAGAGACATTACCTAATTCTTAGCTTACTCATCATCTAGGTGGTGACTTGGAACTTGTTCAAGTTACAGAAACAGAAGAGCCATTTTACGATGTGCTACCAAAATATAATTTTGGTGAGGAAATAAGTTTTCCAAGAGTGAAAATTGTTTGCAATGTTTTAATGGTTAGCCCAAACCTGTTCTTACTGAAGAATCATCTTGCATAAGTAAAGTCGTGTTGAATTATATTTAAAGAACCTTTCTAGAAAATAGAATTCTTGTTTTCGACTGAGCCACGCCGTTTCTGTAAAACTTCATACACATTTATTTTTCACTGTTTCACTGTAAACAAAATTCATATCGTTTGCAATGTCATTAATGATATGTAAATTGTTATATATCAATTTTAATATATTCCTTGTTTTAGTTTCTCAAGAAAATTTGGATTATAAAAGGACAGCTACTTAAGTTTGGTATATAGAAATACAAATATTTTGTACCTTATAAATAGCTCTCCCAGTGACACAGCGGTAAGTCTGATGGCTTATAACACAAAAACTGTGATTTAATACCCGTGATGGGCATAGCACTGATAGCCTTTTATGTAGCTTTGCACCTAACTACAAGCAAACAAATATTATAAATAAATACTTATTTTGCGTATGAATTATGGGTTATTTCATCATATCATGGTAAACCTGACGTGATCGAGTGGTTATCATGTGTCAGGACAATGCATCTGAGGATTCATGGTTCACGACTCTTTGTCGCAAACTCGCTCCTACATTTGAGATAATGAGTGCGCTATAGTAGTGCATGATCAAATCCCACTTTTTTGATCAGATGAGAATAACCTAAGAAATGGTATTGGGTGCTGTGTAGCTGTGCACGTAATTCTGAAACAAAGAAGACCGCATAATAATAATAAGTTAAGCTTAAAATGCAGCCAAGCTTTCGCTTACTATCACGTCCACCATTGGAACGTTTGTGCATTGGTACAAAGAGTGAATAATATTTTGTATATTTCGCTTCTCAAATAATTCAAAGTTGTTAAATTAGGTGATGTTACAGGTGGCTTGTGACTTGTAACATCTTTATAAGTAGAAATACTAGGGTGTTCAGAAAGAAACTGCCATCAGATTACAGCCAACATATTTCACTAATGTTGATGAAGAGTATTGTTTGTTATTAAGCACAAAACTACACAAAGGGCTATATGTGCTCTGCCCACCACGGGTATCGAAATTCGGTTTCTAGCAGTATAAGTCCGCAGACATACCACTGTGCCGCTAAGGAGCATTGCTGAAGATCTGAATAACGTAACCTCATTTCTTATGGTAGTCCTCGTTGGGTATGTTGCGATTTATTTGTTGTTTCCCGAGTTTAGTTGAATGCAGATGCGGTGAAACGAGTACAAAAGCAAAAACTCCTTTAATAAGTTGAATGGAAGTGTTGTGAAGCAGATCGAGAGCCAAAACATGGAATCATCAACGTAAAAGTGTTGTTGCGTTTAACCGTTGATGCAAGCATTTTGCCTTTTCACTCTTCTTTGACGAGAACTCGATCGAAAAGCGTTGTTCGCATATTTTTCTCTCGCAGCTGCAATTTTGTAATTGTGTTTCTTGTCATCTATCCTGAAAATATAATATGTCAGTGATGCCACTAACAGAGGATGGATACTGACCTATTAACAGGCTCGTCCGTCGGTCGCAAATTACATTTATCCAGCGTCTGGAAGAGAAAAAGCGTTTTTTTTTTCCTGAACACCTCGCATTTTTGTTAGTTTTCTACTTTTCACAAAACTGTGTGTTCAGTATATATATGTAATGTTTTAAGTGCATGTAGACTCAGTTGTGAAATATTAAGTATGGCCTAAGGGAAACGTATAATTGAACATATTCAATGTTTGAAATATTTGAGGATATCATTTTTTTGTAAAATGAACTCTGAGCTGAAA